ATATATTTTCTCATTGATCTTCATTAATATTAAAATCAGGTTTGATCATTATTGAAATGAGAAGTGGAAAATGAATTAAATAAAGAAAAATGATTAATAAAACAGGAGTGCATTGTTATTTTGCATCACAAATACATAATATTTATAGAACCATGAATTTCTTCATTTATGTAGCGATAAGCTATTTCTATTAATTTCTGGAACTGCTGGCTCGAGACATGGCTCATCATTATTTCTAATTCCGTGTCAGGTATTTAAGTGTGATTTAACTGATATATTGAATTATCGAAATAAGAGGAAGGAAAATTTTTTTTTCATATTTTTATACAATATCGCGTTATAAAGGTAGCCAAAGTTGAAAAATTATTGAAATTGTATACAATTAAAATGATACACTGCCTACCTATACTGTCTCATTATTGCTTCTATTCGCTTCTCACTCTTGAACACGAAAACAGGAATTCTTCAGAAAATCCATTTCTCCAGATATATATTCTTCGGGTAAATATAAGTCCCAAGTAATGATCGTGCATCCGCAATTTATAATATTCGCATTTATCGGAACGAAATTTTCGACGAGAGAATGTCCAATTAAATGAACTCTTAACCGAGTCTCTTATTATCTAAACTAGTTTCGAGCGTTGTTCCAATTATACGAACGAAAATAAAGTACAGTAGGCTAACAAATGCGCTAGAAAATTCGAAAATTGAGCTAGATGATGAATTTTATTAATCTGAATGTGAATTCTTAGTATTTGAAAAAAAAGTTAAAACTAATTGAGATAATCCTATTATATGAATGTAATATGATTCTGTTTCGTGGATTCTATTATCCAATTATACGATTACGTTGGATATTTATGTATAAAATAAATTTTAATTTATTAATTTTAATTTATATATATTTTTATTATATTTGGCTAGATTATTAGCTAAATAAAGTAGATTATTTCATTATTTCGTTTTTAAATAATAATTATTTTTTTACTCTTTTAATTTTATCTTTCATTTTGACGGATAATTCTAAATAATTTTCCAAATATTGTTCAATTTTAACACATCTTTTATAGAGAAATCGTTTTTTTCTTATTTTTTATTTATGTTGAAGTTAACATTTTTATAACAAATAATTTCATCTTTATATAATAATTCAATCTTTTATGTCAAATTATTTGTCATTTTAGTTGAATCGATTAACTCGAATAAAAAATTATTTGAAAATATTAATAATAAAATATTAATATTTTTTTTATGAATATTTTTATTGCATCAATTTTGATTAAAATTTATTATCACTAAATATTATGAAATATTATTTGGAGATTATTAGAATACAATTATAATGCATAATTTCAAGGAAAAAAAGAATGAATTTTAAATTTACTTTTGTTGTTAACATCCATCCATATATCGTTTGTTCAAGATTATATACACAAGATATATTACACAATTGTGTAATTTTCAAATTTAAATCTAATTTCATGACGTGTTTCGTAGAAATAAGGAAATAATATATATTTTTATTTTTCAAAGAAATTTTCTTATTATTTTATATATTATTATAATAATACTAATTTTTAATAATAAATAAAAAATTATATATATATAAAGTTATAAAATTATAAATTTTACTTATTAGTGTATATATAAAAATTACATGTATAAATAAATTTAGTTTAACTTTATTAATAATTCTTAATAATTTTTCTTATTTAAGTTTCACATTTAAATTTAGCATTCAATTGTTGTATACACTTTTATTGCATTTAGAAACTTCAATGTATCCGTATATTCGAATAATTAGCTCGTTCTTCTCGTGTTCGTTATCTCACCCTTCCCTCGCTATATTGGCCATTGTTTTCCACCGTAGCCGATGTTTCGAATTACACTATTGTTACTTAAAATTTGGGTTAAACTAACATTAAAAGGGTAATATAGTCGTAAAAATTAAAACGGTACACCGAATTACAAAAGTATGATCTTATCTACATTTTTCGATCGATAACAATGATAAGCTCCTTTTTTTTCTATAAGGCAACAAATTATGTATTAGATGATCAAAAAAATCCCATCTTTACTTTATCATATATTTTTCTATCATAAAAAGAAAAAAAAAGATTATTTATTTCATCGTATATACTTTTCTATTATAAATAGAAATAATCATTCATTATTACTTATATTATGTTATAATTCGTGCAATACTGTTTTATCGACAGCGACAAATTATTTGATTTAAAATTGATTATATTGTATACTTAGAATTATACATTTTTTCTTCGCGCATGCGTATCGTATACAATTACAGTGAATTCAAAAACTTCATTTTCGCGAAAAGTTATTATAGGATTCGTAAATAAAAATTTCTCTCTTTAATTCCTATTCTTCTGATTGTGTAACCATCTTCCAATGTTCTTTTCATTATGTAATTCTTTATTAAACGTAGAAAATCATCTCTAAAAATAGAAAGTACATTGAAAGAGAGAGAGAGAGAGAGAGAGAGAGACTTTAAAAAAATCATCGAAATCGTGACGTTTTTCTAAATAATTATTACATTCTATACAAAACTATTACATTCTTCTTTTAAATAAAGTTCAAACATTGGATAAACGTTGCTCGTGTTACTGTTTACACAGCGTGGCATCGACCTGCTAAAAGTTTCAATTTTCCCCGATACATACAAAAGAGTTTAATCGGGCGTTAAAGTAAAGTAGTTGGATTACTTTGTCATTGTTCTAAAAATAATCCTGGTGTTAAAGAGGTTAACGAACCGGGAACCCTATAACTTTATCGCCGTTTAATGACAGGAAAATCATCACAACGAGACTTATTGTATCGTAACGACGATGTATAAAGTTATTGAAAAATAAAGAACAGTGAAGGGGGAGGGGGGGAGGGGGAAGGAAAGAAAAAAATAGAAGGAAATAAATAATGAAAATGAACAATTCTTTACTCTTTGTATTCAACGATCGTTAAGAATCATGGATGAAGATCATTAAATATGGACTATAACATTATTATCGACCGAGCAAGATTTAATTAACGATAGCCACGAATCGCAAAAGTAGACGAAGATTTCGAATTTAAGGATCCGGATCGCGAGTGAAATTGGTACGAAATTGACCGAGAAAATATATTCTTTCGTTTCTTTGATTCGTTCTAAATTTTTGTTTAGATTTATTATAAATATTGTAAAACTTGAATAATTCGACACACTTCTCGAGAGTCAAAAAGTTTCGATTAGTTTTTATTATTTTTATGATCTGAAACTTTCGATATTCAAGCAAAGTGTAGTTTGCATAATGAAATAATTTTCATGAATCTAAACTGAGGGGTGATACTCGAAACTTTTCGAAAGTCAAAAAGTTTCGATATATAAAAAAGTTTTTAGTAGTTTTATTACTCCATTACTTAAGCAAGGTTGTTTTTTCATATTATTTATATCGTGTTAATAACTCAAGCATATTTGATAATCCGATTGATAGTTCTGGAATGAAAAATAAACGAAATATCTAGAATTTCAATGTCTATTATCGAAAATGACGTACTGTCATCTTCAAATCACTCATATATATTTTTGTAATTTATGAAAAAAAAAATAATAATAATAAACAGACATCTTATATAAGATACAATTTTATATAATTTGTATAGATAATGTACCCATTTTTGATTTTTGATGAGTACACATTTTCTGTAATTTAATTTATAGTATGTTTTGCAAGAAGTTATTTAAAGTTATTAAGGTATCTATTTTTTATGTCACAACATTTGAAACGCTTGAATCTTTGTGAACTTAATGTTTCTTTAAGTAGTCGTTTCTCAAGAATATTGAGAATACATTGATGATTAGCTTTTGTAAAAAAAATCTTTGAATTTTTATGTTTCTTTCTAAATTCTTTCCAGTTAATCGATGAAACAATTTTTAATGTTTTCAAAAAATTTTTACAAAGTATAAAATTGAAACGTCAAAATAAAATATATCTCTACTATTAATATCTCTACTATAACACTCTAAAATTTTTTCATAAAAATAATAGAAGAATAATAGAAGAATAAATTCAAAAAAATGATTCAGAGAATGTAGAAAAGAGGAAACGTAAGGGAGAACACAATAGAAGACAAGAAGAGCGTGAATAATAAATAATAACATATTAGAAGAAATTAATTATTTTCATTGAAATCAAATATAAAAAAAAAATATAGTAATAGCAAATAATTTATTTCGTGAAATAAATAAATAAATCATTTAATTTCAAATGTTCATTGAGATTATATTTAAAAAAAAAAATCTCTAATGTGTTGTTATTCTGATGTTTGTTATTCTGATTTTAGATCCCAGGGTGAACCATTGGATGATGATGAGCAGTCCTCTTCCTACCATGGTGATATGCCTGTGTTATGCGTATTTCAGCAAAGTTTTAGGACCGAGGATAATGGAGAATAAAAAGCCTTACAAGCTTCGAGGAATCCTAATTAGCTATAACCTGATTCAAACGCTATTCTCCACGTGGATCTTTTACGAGGTTCGTCAGCATCTTTTCTTTTTCTCTTCATATTACACATTAGTGCCTACTTTGGCATCTACAATCGTGATCGAATCCTTATCTAGATAGGTGGATTTTTATGAATTCGATTTGAGCAAAAGAGAGGAAATGAATCGGATAAAAAAAGAAAAGAAAAAAAAATGATCACTTTTACGTTCAGTAGTTATAGTGGAATTTTGTTTATACGAAATTTTATTTATATAATATAATCCAGTTTATATTGAATCGTTCGAATATCTCGAAAAATATGAACGATACGAAAAAATATTTCAGATAAAAGAAACGCATTATGCGATACTAAATAATTTTTCTTTTTCTATAGATTGACTGTTAGAAGTCATATGAAGGTTAAATTTAAATGGAAACCATATAATTTTATTGCGTCGCCTGTTGTCGTTCGACCGACCAAAAAAGTTGTCTAATGTGGCTCGATGTAAACGCAGCTTAATTCGTTCTCTAGCCAACTTCACAGGACTTGCGCTATGTTAGCGGAGAAATGTACGCTGATTGTTTCTCGCCGTCAAACTCGTTTGAATAATCCTATTCAGACGTACCATAGATACCGTGCAGAATAATAATTAATAATCGGTCTCGAGACAACTGTACACCTGGCTCTCGTTCGTGAAAGTTATTGCCTTGCTTACGATGAGTCGTTTCGTGGCTTGCATAAGCCAATTCCTTCTTCGAGCAGTCAATGAAATTCATCATGTCGATGAAAAGCTCATGAGTTGGCGAACCCACCCACGATTTGCATTCTTCAACTTTCCATTGCATTCACGAATGTCGATGTTGTGTCAAGAATATGTGTGAAACGAGATCGTTTATCGGATAGAATTATTCGAAGCTCTGCCTTTCTGATGGTTCTAGGAAAATTGAAAGAAATTCACCGATAAGATAGAAAATTTAATTATCGATACATTTAAAAATCGACGATAAATTGCTACAAACTTTTTAATTCATAAGTATTTGTGTTTTTCAAATTTTTATAAGTAAGACTAGTAGTAGATTTACAGAATGATTTTGTAGATTGCTTTCATTCTTTAAATTTAATTTTATATGATTTATTTTAAATAATGCATAATTTGATAAGTGTTCTAGATCTTTTATTCTATTTTACTTTTAGTGCAATTAAAATTTCTTTAACTTTTTCAAACTTTTGGAAAGAGGAATCCTTGAATCGGAAAATAATATTATTTTGTCAATTTTTTAATAAATTTTAGTTGAAATTTGTCAAATTTATAATTATTCAATAATAATACTTGTCATCTTTTTGGATTGCAGAAAATTAAATTGTTATTTTCCACAGAATATTATATTAATTGAAATAAGTCAATTTAAACATAAATTGAATTATTATTAGTTAAATAAATTTATATTTTTTTACAATTATTATTCTACAAATAAATTCTATAAATCTTTATAGAAAATTTATTAAATTTAGAATAATAAATATTATATATATATATAAATATTATTTTAATAAATATATATTAAAAAATATTATAGATTTATATTTATATAAATATAAATGTATAAGAAATTAATAAAATTATAATAATATATATTTATTTTAAACAAAATGGCATTCTTGACATGGTAAACAAAATTTAGAAACATTATTATCAGTTGAAAAACATTAACTGACATTAATTAATTAATTATTTATAAGTTTCTTATTTATTTAAATGCATTAAATGACATTATCTTTT